GCCCCCATTGCAAAATGTCACTAAGCATACAGCAAATAAAAGCAACAATTGCTACCAGCTTTATAGCATTGTTGAGAAACCCAAAGGAGTTGCATGAGGTAAATAGTTTCCCAATGACAGATATTTTGTATCTGCTAATTGTCCTTTTTGTTGACTACAGATGTAAAGCAAGTGAAAAACAACTTCAGGAAAATATCTGTCTGGGCAAATAAGTTAGAAAGTTTTTTAAGCCATCAGTTCTCAACCCTACCATCTTGCCCTGCTTACTATGAAAAAATTCGAGCCCTCAAAATTGTGAGCAGGTTTCTGAAAATGTGAACTGAACATTAACCAGTCCATGATGTATGCATGAATCTTGAGACAGCATGAATCGATAATTTTCTAAGTGATGTGAATTGCCCACTTTCATTTCAGTTGATACCCTGCAGACTCTGCCATCTCATGATGTTTATCCAATGTGACTTCAGTTGGTTTTGGTTTTTTAACTATGAAATTTGTAATTTTTCTGTAGTCAGCTTACATTTTGGGCATTTTTACATGTGCTCTGGGATGCAGCACCAGGTGCTTTAATTAGTGAGCTGTGCTAATTAAACATATCCATGCATTATGTGTATCACATCCCCTTGCGTCCCCGTACTGAAAAAATGGTAGTGGGGTGCTTTGAACTAAAGGTCACCAAACCTATTTTATTTCAAAGTGCCCCACCACCATTTTTTAAGTGCAGAGACATGCAGGGACATTGATATACGTGACACAGAAGACAGGAGCACGTCAATTTCCATGCTCCAACAGACTCGATTACTCAAGTCTGCTCTGACGCACTGGATTTCCAGCACATCGGAGCAGGCTCTGTACATGTCTGTAGGAGCCCTTTGTCTCCCTGCCCTGCTGACATGCATGGAACTGGTTTTTATTCTTCAGTTTTTCCATAAGGGTCAGTAATTAAATAACACTCCACAGTTCTAGAACTATTTCACTAAAATAGATGGAAGCTACCCTTCCTTTCTTCCTTCTCTTTCAAATATATGTGTGCAGTCTAACTTTCTTCTGGCTTGCTCGGACTGAAATACATGTCAAAAAGCTTGGTAGCTACCAGGAGTGTAAAAAAGGTATGCAACCTGGTTTTTTTCTTTTGTTTTGTTTTAAACATAAAGACAACAAGTTATTTGGAAACTAAGTAAAAACCCACAATTTTCATACAAAGTCTTGTGGTTCACAGAAAGATCAAACTGTCTTATTTATGGCATTATAATTAACTATTAAATATATAAGTGGCAGTGTATATAGCAAAATAGCTGGCATGCCTCATATGTAATTGGGGAAGTAATTATGCCCTATGTCTTAGTGGTTATCTGTCCTCTTATGTCCTTCCACCACAACTATAGGTTTTTCTAAATTTGGGTGCATGCTGTAGTCCAGTCTGTAGACCTGGCTAGTCCTTGATAGATTTTCTATTGTGTGTCATTTCAGTAGCTCCATTTTCATGTTATTTTTGTGCTGCTTCTCGTTTGGAATAGAGTCAAACATTTCCAGGTTGGCCAGTCTGTTCATTTCCAATCCCTTGGTTGATTGTGGTCAGCCACAAGCATCATATTTCTATTCATGTTGCTACCGTTAGAGGTGTACCAATACATCAGTCCAATATTGGATCAGCACAGATATAAAGAAAATTGACTATATAAGAAATCGGCCTGATGTGGCCAATAATTTGGCTGATAGATACCTGTGCGTGCATGCAGCCGCAGTGCAGCACTGAGGCAGCGAGTAGCACAACCTGGCAGCATGGAGAGCTGCCTGCAGCTGATAAGTCTGTTGTGGTGAGGGGGGAGGGAAGGGGCGTGGCAGGGGCAGATCAATGCCCCCCACAATGATGGAGGGAGTGGGACTGGGGCTGGGGTAGGTGCTGCCTGGGTGGGGCGGGGCGTGGGATGGAGCTGCAGCTCGTCTGGAGGGCACAGGGAACAGGGGAGGCAGGGGAAGGTGGCTCCTGCCACTCGTCCGGGAGGGTACGGAGGGAGAGGCGTGTGCCCCTGGATCTGCGCGGGGTGGACTAGGCGGGCTGCAGCTGGGGGCCACTCTACACTGCGCTTGGGGTGGGCGGGCAGCAGCAGCACTGGAAGGGTGCTATAGGGGGCTACAGCAAAATTTGGGATGGCTGCAGCCCCGCCCCCCATAGCTCCCCTCCCAGCAGCACTGCTGCCTGCCCTGAGCACAGCCCTGCAGCCTGCCCAGTTTGCCCAGTGCAGATCTGGGGTCACATGTCTGTCCCCGTGCCCTCCCAGACGAGTGGCAGGAGCCATCCCTGTCCTGCTCCCCATGCCCCCTGGACGAGCTGCGTCTCTATCCCACACCCACCTCACCCCAGCTGGGCAGTGGCTGTCCCAGTCCCACTCCCTCCCTCATTGCGGGGAGTGTTGATCTGCCCCTCCATGCCCCTTCCCTCCCTCTTCCCCTTTAACTACAACAGACTTACCAGCTGAACACAACTGTATCAGAAATTGGATTGGTCTCGGCTGATATGCCTCCTTAAAAATCGTCTACTAGTATCAGCCCCCCGAATCTCTATTAGTGCACCATTGAGGCTACCATTGAGGTTTTTTTGGTTGTTTTCTTTTTCTCAGAGGTTCTGTTCTGACAGGAAAACTTTCGTGAAATTACTGTTGGTGTTATTCTGTAATGATTACCTTGTGTCTTCCATCTGTTATGTGCATTCTGTTTTGTTTGTAACTTCTCTTCTAATGTCCAGTGCAGCTATCTCAGCAGCATCTAGTTGGGGATGGTTCTGCTTTGAGCAGGGGGTTGGACTAGATGACCTCCTGAGGTCCCTTCCAACCCAAACTTTCTATGATTCTGTCTACAGATTGTTCATATTAGCTGGTCTAACACACCTAGTTTATGGGAACAGCACATCCTAGAAAATTTATGTACCGGTGCCAGATCCTGACATTCTGCTTCAACTATACTGGTATACATGGGAAAAGAGATTTTGTAGGAGGGAGAGGGAAATAATGGTGTGGAAAATTTGAGGATGGATGCTACAGAGATTTTTTTTAATTATTTTTTTGAGGAGGCAAGCTGCCATTTTTTCCATAACTTGAAATTATTTGTGTTCAGAATCCAGATCTTGATATATGCCTATCTCTTCAATTTTAGTTGCGTAACTTTTTCTCCAAGTACTTTAGTTAGTGTCATGAATGAATAAAATGTAAGAACAAGCTCAGTCTTTTCTATTATATTTTTGAAGAACATAAGATTATTTTATGCAGGCAAAATGACAACATCCTGACTTGTTTGAATAAATTCAGTTAAGTAACTGAAATGTTTAGATTAGAAGCTTATCCTTAATTTTTAAACTGCTTAAATCTGTATTAGACTGTATAATTTTTTTACAGAAATAAATATGCTAGCAATATTTTGACAAATATAATTTTACTTTTTATGAATTCTTTTAAAATTTCTAGAAATTCAATCTCTGGCCTAAAAAATAAATAAAAGCTGTAATAGGTAGATTTTGGAGTTGGACACTTATATGCTTATTGATCTTTTTTCTAGGAAAATTTTTTAAAGAATTAACTTTTTTTAACTCTTCCCCTTCATTCTGCCACAATGATTTGTGATAAGTTTTCATCTAAGTCAGTGACTGACTTCAGTTACATGAGCAGTCACTGTTAAAAGTTTCAATAACATATATGTCTTTAAGTGGACCATGGGAAACATACTTTAGTTCAGTGGTGCTCAACCTATGGGCCACTGGCTGGATGATGTGGCCCCACATGCCAAATTGCACTGGCACATGGGACTAAGTTGTGGCCAGATCAGCCATGTGGAACAAGCTTTGCACCAGTCATCCAACCTGCAGGGACAAACAGGTGCAGCACTGTTCTGGGTCAAAGGAAAATGTATAAATCTTGTACCACAGTTATGCATATCTGCATAGATAGCATATATATTGCATGTAGGGGTGCACCAATAGAGATTTTGGGGGCCAATACCAATAGCCAGTTTTTAAGGAGGCGTGTTGGCCAATACCAATCCTATTTCTGATACACAGGCTGGCAGCTTGAAGAGCAGTGTCTGGCTGCTAAATCGGTTGTGGTGGAACAGGAGGGGGAAGGGAAGGGGCGTGGTGGGGAGGGGCAGATGAGGCCCTTGCGGTGAGGGAGGGAGTGGGGCAGGGGCTGGGACAGGTGCTGCCCAGGCAGGGCGGGGCACAGGATGGAGCTGCGGCTCATTTGTGGGGCACAGGGAAGGGAGGCATTCTCACCGCTGCGCGCACCCCTGGAGGACATGGGGGGGGGTGCACCCCCGGATCTGTACCCGGGGTAGCGGGGCTGCTACTGTGGGCTGAGGCTGGGGCTGCACCAGGCTCTTTCTGGCAGGGGCTGGGCCGGGCTGTGCTTGGGGCAGGTGACAGCGGCGCTGGGAGGTGGGCTGTGGGGGGGCTGCAGCCACCCCAAAATTCACTGTAGCCCCCCCAACTCCTCCCAGTGCCACTGCCCGCCCTAAATCGAGCACAGCCCGGTCTAGCCCCCAGTAGTAAGAGCCCGGCGCAGCCCTAGCCCTCCCGCCCCGCACAGATCCGGGGACACATGCCCCCCATGTCCTTCTGGGGTACACATAGCAGCAGGAGCTTCCCCCTGCTTCAATCTCTGACCTAAAAACAGAGTCCCACAGTCTCTGTCCCATGCCCCACCCTGCCCTAGCTGTGCAGCACCTGCTCCAACCCCACTCCCTCACCACAGGGGCCTTGATCTGCCTCCCTATGCCCCTTCCCTCCCCCCTCCCCTTCCACCACAACAGACTTACCAGCTGCACACAGCTCTCCAAGCTGCCCAGCTGTGCTGCAGCTGCACATATGCATAGGGCATTTAATATCTGAACCCTTTTTTGCTTTTTGTATGCATATAAAGTGAAATGACTTAATGCAAACACCCTTAATAAAGTAAAATGACTTAATGCATTCAATGAATGCTTTAATATTGTATATTGTTTTTTATCAGCTCCTGGGCTACAACGAAAAACAAGTAAACCTACAGATGTTCATTGGCACAGCAGATGATCGCTACTTACGACCTCATGCATTCTACCAGGTGCACCGAATCACTGGGAAAACAGTTGCTACTGCTAGCCAAGAGATAATAATTGCCAGCACAAAAGTTTTGGAAATTCCACTTCTTCCTGAAAATAAAATGTCGGCTAGGTGTGTTGCAATATTCATTCCAAATTCACCAGCTAGTCATGTATTCCTTTCAGATAAATCGAGATTAGAAACAAGAATCTTTAAAAAAAAATTTTAACATAACTATTGATTTTAATTCTCTTCTAAATGTAGTGTCCAAGTTACTTTTTCTAAAATTACAAAAACAAAGGTAATGTTTTATTATGATTATTGGTACTTGTATTTGGATTTTTAGCCTAAGTTCTTCAAGCCTCTCTGCTAGACGTAAAAACAGTGCAATAAATATCTTAGCAAAAAATGGAACTAGTTACTACAACTGTAATTCTACACCACAATACTTTGGAGCCAGTGAACCAAGAACAATATAAATACAGATTAGTTCACTCTCTCTTATCTCTCACTCTAAATAAACTCTTTTTTTTAACTTTACAGATTATCACATCATGCAGCAATACATTTGCTTTAACAGGCTTTAAGGTGGTGTGTTTAATACTGGCCCTGTCTTCTCTTTTTTCAGTGAGATGTGTCATGTAAAATCATATATTTTATGTTGCTAAGTAACTGATGTAATGAATGGAAAAAATAAAAATTGGCAATTCTGGAATATCAGAATGGGGTTTCTGATATGCTTGTTGAGTGCAAGTTTGATGAGGTTATACCTTTTTCCCTAGAGAATTATACAGTGGTTGCTGCTTTCCTTTTTGCAAATATTTGTCAATTTGAGCGACTTGCTTAAGAAAATTTGTCATTAAGTGTCATTGTAAAACAATTAGTAATATTTTACTTTTAAAAAGTGAAAAGGGTGGCAGAGATTATAAATCTCCAAGATGTAATTTTTTAACTGCAACCCATAGTTAGCATTACATTAGTTGGTGTTAATTTGAAGTTTCCTAGTAGCAGCTGTCTAAGATACTGGAACCAATAAAAAATTATAAGGTGCATTTTTAGTTTTTTTAAGCAAGTTTAAAGTTAAAGCTCCTAGAAAGGATTTTTGGATCATTTAGTAGTTTCTGACTTGTTTTCCTCCATCTAATTTCTAACCCTTCACCCCAGTATTGATTGTGCAGGTATTTTGAAACTTCGCAATTCAGATATAGAGCTCCGTAAAGGAGAGACAGATATTGGAAGAAAGAACACCAGAGTGCGTCTTGTGTTTCGAGTTCACATCCCACAGACTGGTGGAAAAGTCTTGTGTCTACAAACCGCTTCCATACCTGTTGAATGCTGTAAGTTTGTAACAATTGATTTTACATTTGCTTAAAATCTCAGTCACCAATAGTAAGATTTTTATTTTCATTTGTCTGTGCAACTGGAGAAGGAAAATACCAACATTGGATAAAATTTTACAGTAATATATCTTACTTTAGAATACTCAAGATATTGTTAATTTAAATGAAAAGTGAATTACAGTATTTAAGTTTACCTATCTTGTCATAATATTGAATCGTGATACTGCTTGCAAAACTAGTGGACATCTGAAGTTTTGGATGAACTTATAACTTACACAAGGAAAACTTGTAACTTAAATTATAAAGCTTTTATTAAGGTATCATGGCTTGGCATTTAATTCTTTATGGATCACGCCACAATTTCAGTTTGATTCAAATTATGAAAGTAAAGAATAACTATACCACAATTCTCTTTCCACAACTTGATTACGTATGAAAAGAAAATATGATATTGGATACAATATTCAGATTTTAAATGGGATTTCAGTGCAGGTTTAAGCTTGTAGATAAATATTTTTTCTTCTTTTCAATCATTTAAAAAATAGCTCAGCGATCTGCTCAAGAACTTCCTCAGATTGAAAAATACAGCATCAACAGTTGTTCTGTAAATGGAGGCCAAGAAATGGTTGTGACTGGATCTAATTTTCTCCCAGAATCAAAAATCATATTTTTTGAAAAAGGACAAGGTACGTTACTTTTTCAAGTCTGAAAAGAACTGCAAGAGCTGAACTGAGTTGTTAAGTGATGTAGAAGTATTAAAAGCATTGTGAGTTGTAATCTAGCACTATAATTTAGGTTGTCTGTGTCCTGTTTGGCTGCCTATATGAAAGAAACGCCATTGGTGTCATAAATCATCAAGGCAGTTGCATACTAACTAGTACGTAATAGAAACTCGGAAACTGAAGGGTGGGAAGGGATGCCTGTTTACACATCATTTTTCTTCTTCTTCTTCAAAGAAAAATGTAAATAGAATATAGAAACAAAAACTGTGGCCCTGGAGAGAGGCAGACATTTGAAACTCCAAATTCTGCTCATTTGGAGTGCGTCAGTGCTGTACATGTGCACAGCCCTTAAGCATGCCTCCCTGCTAGAGCACTTCAGAATCACTGTGGCAGCATGCAGTGACTTGCTGTCCAGTAAAGGGGTACAGCCCCACTGTGCGGGGGGAGTGGACAGCCAATGAATGCTCTCTTGTGCACTCAGTGTCTGTTCTCCCCATTCTAAAGGTGGAGAGCCACACAAGGAATCATTATCTTCAGCACCAAAGCTCCATGCACCCCCTCCCCCTTCTGTCCCCCCAGTGGAACTGGAAGACCAGAGAAGGATAGGCATACAGGGATTCCCACTCTCCAGCTCCAACAGCAGAGTAACTCTATTACAGGGGAAGAATAAGTATCAGGGGCAAACACCAAAATGGAAAGTCTTGTATTCGTGTAGCTATGTTGAACAATTAAAAGGGAAGAGATAAAACAATATCTAACATAGGTTAGACCAGCCATTCTCAACTGGGGGTCCGTGGCCTCCTGGGGGACCATGAGCAGGTTTCAGGGGGTCTGTGCCTAAGGGACAAGGAGGCAGGAGTGTGGAGGTTGGGCATAGGCAACACGTGGGGGGTGCATAGGGAGGGTGTGGGGCACATGCCCCCCCCAGATTTGTGCACCCAGAGCAGGCCCAGGGCTGCAGCCTGCCCAGATCAGCACAGGTGGGAGCCACCTCTGCAGCCCAGCACATGGAACCCAGTGCATGAGGGTGGAGTGGGGTGGCAAGAACTTTTGCCACCACCACCGCTGGGCCCCCTGCACTAGCCACACTACCAGTAGTGCAAGGAGTAATGGACCAGGGGGGACTGCTGCTCTCACCTCCTTCCTCTGGCAGCCACTTGCACTTTAGGCTGTAGCTCTATCCTGGAGGGGAGGTGGGCTGGGTGGCAGCATGGGTGGCCTGAAGGGGGCAGTGGCGGATAGGCCATGGTGGCATGGTAGAGCTGCGGCCTGGCACACGAGTGACTGGTGGTGGGAGGGGGTGAGGGCAGTCCTCCCCGCCCCCTTCCGCCCCCCCCCAGTCAGTTACTCCTCTTGCTGCTGGCAGCACAGCTGGTGCAGGGGTCTCGGCAGTGGCAGCAATAAGTCTTGCTGCTCCACCCCACACATATACACCCCACACCCTGCCCCACACACTGGAGGGTTGGGGGAAGGGGGCAGTGGGGCACCCGCAGGGGTGGAGGGCTGTGGGTTGAGAGTGAGGGGCACTGGCAGGTGGGCCATGGAGTTCTTATAGCGTGATTGGGGGTGGGCCTTAGGAAGAAAAAGGTTGAGAACCCATGGACTACACTACTTTAGACTAGTATCTAGATTTTTTGTTTGCATTTTTTCCCCAGAATGCAACGAGATATCAGTAGTTCTTGAAAAATCTGCATTATATAACATACTTGTTAAGCAGGTACATCTGCTTTTGGTTAATTTATGAACGTAAACAGGCCTAAGCTTAAGTGTTTGCAGTGTATATCAGCAAGGCACCAAAGTGACAAATATCCAATTTATATGTGCTTACTGGGAAGGAATATGGAGCCAATTAAATAGAAGCACTTAAAAGTCTGGCCTTTTTTAAACACCTGTACACATCCTAATAATATTCATTCTGAGATTCCAACTCCAATCTTAAATGAACGCAGTAAAAAAGATCAAAACTGAAAGATCAAAATAGTATTTAATACACTTGTCATTAAGGGCATTCATTTTATGTTTCTTCATAAAAGTTTGAATATCCAAGTACAGAAAAACAGATAATATCAGATTTTTCTCATACAATATGTAATATTAACAAACTAACTTACAAGAGCATGTTAGATTGTTAGATTTGTTCAGAGTCATCTCTAAGGAATAGGGCCTTCAAAAATTTGCAGTTTGGATAGGTAAACATTATATAGTTTTGGAAGACTAATTTAACAAAGTAACTATTTGCTTTTGAACATGCAGTTTAAAATTTATCTAGGGAATCCAGGGCATTGCAACACATGGCCCTTGGTGACAAGGTGTTTGGCCTCTACCTCTGGTCTGGGCAGGTGCATCTGCTGCTTATCCTGTGGATCCAGCCTGTGACAAACCCTATGGTCTGTATTTGGCCCAAGGCATGGGGGAAGGTTGACACCCCTACTTTAGGATAGCTGGAATCTGATAGGCAGCATGCTGTCTGTGATTTCCCTTTATTTAAAATACCTACTTCTCAAAGTGTGTATTTGGCATCACAAAACAAGGTTACTTTTCTTGTATCTCTGATGTCTTTCTTTTCACAGTTTTATTGATGCAACTGCCTTATTCTTGTTCTTACTTACAGTGTAATCTTTTTCTCTTCTCAAAGAGTAGCTGTCCATTATGTCCTTACATTTACTTTTTGTGGACTTGATGCCATATTCCTCCATATTGCTTCATTTTCTGCTTCCTTCCTGAAAGTGTTCAAATATCAGGCAGTATAAAGGAAACGTTTCCTCTGGGTTTAGAATGAGGGAGTTACCATAAATTAGACAATAAAATACCCAGTAAAACTAGGTACTGTCATATTCTTCATCATACTTGGTACATGCAGAGCACGTCTACATGTGACACTACGTCACCGTAGCAATGTGTTACAGCGACATAGATTCAGAGGTCAAAAACTGTGATGCCGCAGCTACATTGCTGTAGAGATGCACTCCAGTGGTATAGTGAATTGCTATAGTGACATAGCATCTAAAAATAACCATGCGCTGTGCGGACAGCGCAGTATGGGCTGTTGCTGTGCCATCGTGTAGTACTTCCCAAAGAAAGTACTGCATGATGGCGCAATAACAACAGCACCATCGGGGCACATGTAGACATGCCCCCTGTTACTGAAATTAAATATTCCTCCCTACAAAATAAAAAGAAGACCTGATTCTTTAAACAACTTGTCATGTATTTTACCCTCATGTTTATTCCATGGGGTTACTGTGACATAAACAGATGTGTTAGCCCCTGTTAGTTTGGTATGTGCCAAACTAACTGTATGACTTCTCAGGATGATGAAACAAATGGTGCATATCTCATGACAAAGATTACTTTTTTAAGTGGGTTGTGATCTTGAAGAATAGAAGACAACAATGAAGGTACCAGTGTTGATTGTTAAAGCAGTTATTTTTAGACTTTAGAAGTCACTTCAGCTATTCTTTGTAAAAAAAATGTTTTTGGAACTCACTGCGGCTTCATGGGACCTGTTTCAGGATAGCTTCTTAATCCAATATGCCTTTGCCAGTTCTGTAGAAAGGTCAAACTTTCTGTTATATGTAAAAGTATTAGCCTACTTCAGGAATAATTTGATTAACCTATAGCTAAATGAGAATTGAAAAATGCATTGTAAAAATGTATAACTAAAGTTGACTTTCTTGTGAGATTTTATTGGCTAAGCCTCTTCTACAGCATTAAAAATATCTTCATTCACTTATTTTATCTTCTTAATGCAGCTTCCCTCTCACTTCTCCTCCTCCTGGCCCAATATATCCTCTCCTCCTGGCTTAAAGAGGAGAGCTGGAGAGTACTCTGGGGAATAACAGCAACATTCATGCTGCTACTTACTGGAAATTTTAGGTGGGAAGAGTCTAGTGTAGAAATAACTTTTAGCATACTATCTCACATCAGATGCCATGGCTCTTATCTAATGGTCAGCCTCAGCCTAAGCTTGTTTAACCTTAACTAGTTCATAGTCTCTTAATCTTCCAAACAAACAAGGTGAAATAAGGAAATATTTAATATGACAGAGCCTTGATTGATACCATTAATCTAATAAATGTGTTTTTTAATGAATTATTGTCTTGATGACCAGGTTATAAGGTCTGCAAGCTATGGAAGTTTTCTTATAGTGGGTTCGCCTTGATCTTTTCTGTTTGATTAGTCAGCTTCTCAAAAACTTGTAATCTGATTAGTATTAATTGTTACTTTTATAGATAAGTAATTGAATGGTTGCCCGAGGAAAAAAAATAAAATAGTGCAATCTGGTTAATTCAGCACAGGAATAACTCACTGATATAATTTATTAGTGCACTGAACCCCTGCCAGAATCCTATTGATCTTTATAAAAAATACTTTTAACTAATTTGTCACTGGTGTAAAATGTGATTTATTTTTTCTAAAAAGTATGCACATAAATCACAAGGAAATTTACTACTGGTAATCTGTTTTTAATTTGACTTAAAAGATACTGGCCTGTGAGGTTATTGAGTTGTCTGGCATCTTGTGAAGGCATTGCGCCTTTAAGCGAAGTCTTGTAAGTGGCCACTGAGCTCAACCTTCAGCAGAAAGAGCAAAACAATTAAATGACATCAAAGCACTACCTTAACTCAGTATCATTCTTAAAATTCATTAGTGAATTTCATTAATCCATGTGTGCAATGCTTTTTTTGTCCAACAGTTCCTCATCTTGTGAAAGAAAACTGATTAAATGTAATCTACATTTAAAAAATATAGGGTGTGTTTGGGGATTAATGAATTGGCAATATAGAGTGGATATTAGGATTATTTTGAATTGAAACTGCTATATCTAATATTTAATACTTTTTAGTTTCTAAAACAGTAAAGCCATTTTCCCATTCACATACTAAATTTTGCTTAGTCACCTGGACTCTTTCTATCCGAACCTCTTAAAATGACTTCTTTAAGACAAAACATAATATTTTTTG